TGAACTCCTCGAGCATTTTCATTATTGCTGGATCAGTCACCGATTCGTTACCATTCGACCTCTCTGGCACTGGATCGGTACGACGAGTCATTTCTGGCTCGACTCCATTCGGAGTTCTATGTTGATTTTGTAGCTAAGCAATAGCGGCCTGCTGAGCTTGTAGCATCTCAAATATCACCTAGAGACTAACTCCTCCGTCTCCTCTGCCCTATGTACCTTGGCCACCAGATTGGCCCTCTCTGCGTACACTCCCTTCTGGGTCTGCGTTCAAAGCAACGTGCGAACTGACATCGACTGGATTGGCAACCGTTGCTCCCCCGAGCTTAGCCTGTGGTACCTCGGTTCCTGGAGCAATTACATTATCATTTTTCCCGTGAAACCCTAGACAATCTTCACTATGTGTGGGTGCGCTTTGTGAGTTTGACATGTTTTAACCTGAGTGCAAAGATACTTGACAAGAACAAGCGTAAAATAATGTGTGTCATCGAAATCAGCACCGAACAATCACTATTATCCTTAGCCCCACGGTGGGCGCCAAGCTATTTACCCTCAAATTTAGATAATAACTAAACTTATATTTGTGATTTTAAGGATATGTGATTTCGTCCAATACTGATTGATATAAGAAAATAAATGAATAAATTAGAGAATAAAATAAATCAAACCAGTATGCTAGCCAGGTCTCGACCTCGACTTGGGATTGTCTCGAGATGGGATAGTATGGCACTACTACAAAAAAGACCTTTAGCGACAATTATTTAGCGGCAATAAGGCAATTGTTGCTAATAAATTCTTTAAGCTGAAAAATTAGCGGCACATGACCATTAGCCAGTAAAAGATATCTTTTTACCGGCAATAAAAATAAGATTGCCACTAAAAATTACTAATTGAATTAATTTTTTATTGCTTTAATAACTATTCCCTCCGCACAAAAAGAAAATATATTTCCCTCCAAAATTTTTGGACGAGAATCATCATTCCCTCCAAATTTAGAAAAGTTTAGGAAAACATATTTCCCTAGATCGAAAGGATATGGTCGAACCTCTGCCATAGAAAAGCCCTAACAGCTGTTGCGTCAAAGTTCTGCCGTAGTCCCCGTCGATTCTTTTCCAGGTAAGTTCTCTCATCCCTGTTAACTTCTCTTCTTCCCCTATTATCTTCTCTTCTTACCATGTTAAATATGTTGCTTGCAATCGTTTTGCAATAGATTTTGAATCGTTTTGCAATGGATTGATTTACAGTGGATTGACGCGATGCTGCTCGATTGATTGTATGAATTGTTTTACAGCGGATTGATGTTGCTCGATTGTTTATATGGATTGATTTGCAATGGATTGATGCTGCATGATTGTTTATATTGATTTATTACAATGGATTGATGTTGCTCGGTTGTTTATTTCGTTGCACCTTTCTTGTTAAAAGTCAGAAGCTTTTCTTTATGAACCAGTGATTAAGACTCAACCTAAAATAATTTTTTTGCCCTTTAATTTGTTAGCACCTTCATTATAAGCCAAAACGTGTGAAGCCCTACTTAATTTAGCATCAACCAAGTTCCCTGCAGGTTTAGCCAGCTCTAAATTTTTCTATTTCTTTGCATTCAAAAAGTCCCTGGCATCACCTTGTAATTTTTCAATACGTCGATCATCTTCCTCGACTAGATTGTCAACATCATGAGCTGCTGCTATTATTTTTCTTTTCAATCGACGACACACTATCTCGCATGGCCTTGGTGTTTACAATGGCCTTGGTGCTTTATATATTTCCTTTTCTCATTGATGTTGATGTTGCAAAGGATGTGATAATTTTTAGAAATACAAGACGTACTAGCATGTGTTGAACATTTCTATTAGAGCCTGCCTAGGAGTTTCCTTCTTGTAAACGGGGAAAGAAAATAGCAAATATATTTAAAGAAAGTAGCAAACAGATTTGAATGTTTAACGGACACCTTCGATAGTTGTGACTGTCTAATAGTGCGTTGGTGCGTGCAAACAATCTTTGAGACATTTGTGCTTCCAATAATTGTAATATTTTTCTCATTAGGATGCCTTTTGATTGAAACTTCCTGTTGTTTTCCAGCTATGTAAGGCTGTTAACTTGAGCATCATTTCTAGCATAGTTGTTGTTCTGGAGTTAACTAAATTTGGAGACATTCAGTGACTACAAAGAATTCTCAACAGATTTTGAAATGCGTAGGCATGTAATACCAAAATATTTTGAATTGGGTGAGATCATTAAATAAATAACAGTTGAGTGCTTCCCTAATTGACACTACACTACTAGATACTTAAGATTTGTGCTATTCATTTACAAATGCTTAACTTGGTGCTTAACTTTACAAATGCTTAACTTAGCTCTGTTGTCTTTATCTCTTTTCTTCGTGCTTGGAATTTTTTTAACAGTAGCTCCTTGTGCTAATTGAAAACACAATATTAGGTTGTATAACTGAATTCATAGCCTTGTACAACCTCGAGAGTGTTGTAGTAGCAGGTACATCACCCTTAGCTGTTGGTTTTACTGATTTAAAAAGATCTGCACCTTCCTTATGTTGTCACAGATTTCCAACATGCTCCTTAACAACCTCTGTTACCCCCAAATTTTGAGTAACAGTTGTAGCAGCCAGCTCTACTTGTTGATTTTTTTCAGCCGCAGCCACACCTACGGCTACACCTACTGCCATGTTACTTGCAACCAACTGACCATGCTCTTTTGAAACCACAACATCAACTCCTTCTTTAGCAACCAAAACGTGTGAAGCCCTACTCAATTCAGCATCAACCAAGTTCCCTGTATTCCTTGTAGGTTTAGCAAGCTCTAAATTTTTTTGTTTGTTTGCATTCAAAAAGTCCCTGGCATCACCTTGTAATTTTTCAATACGTCGATCATCTTCCTCGACTAGATCATCAACATCATGAGCTGCTGCTATTGTTTTTCTTTTCAATCGAAGACACTCTATCTCGTCATGGCCTTGGTGTTTACAATGACAAGAATAAGTTGTCTTTGTCTAGATTTCTTTATCATTTACATGTTTGTTCTATGATGAGTATGATCTGTTTATAAATGACAAAATATTCCATATCGATTCAGCCCCCATGTAGTAGCCCCATGTCACTGCAATCATCGTTTTATTGATAAAAAAGTCCACATCCGTTTAGGCTTTTGCATAATCGGTTGAATTTTTCAAGTTTATTTATTATGTCTCTTTCTTGTCATGTTTGATTTAGGTAGTCTTTAACTGAAACTTTAGATGGATGATTTCATCGCAGTTATATTAGCTTTTTTAAATTATAATTGTATACTTTAATATATACATATATATATATATATATATATATATATATATATATATATATATTATATATATATATATTATATATATTATATATATTAATATATAATATATATATATATATATATATATATATATACACTAACTTATATTCCATTTAGCTTTAGAACTAGTTAAACTGACGTTCAATGAACAAAAGAGTAAAAAACAAATTAGTAAATAAGAGTAGTATGTTTTGAAAATTTTAAAATATATGATATATGGTTCTGCTATAAAATATCAGTTTAATAATTCTATTCTTAAAAGATTTATGAACCAATATATGAAAACCATAGAAGAAGTGTAATTTATAAGTTTAATAATTCTATTCTAAAAAAATTGAACCAATATGTGAAAATCATAGAAGAAATTAGAGATAGTTTAACTGTTTAATAGTTTAATTGTTAAAATGATAGTTTTTAATAGATTTATGTTTGATAGTTTTAATTGTTAAAATGATATCTTTGAACTATGAAATTACCTACTAATAGGATATGTTTTTTTATTTTGAACTACCTTTTTTATTAATTTCTCCTTTTTACTAATAAATTTGTAGCTCTTGCAGTAATTATATAGAAAAGAAGGAATATCTTGAGCGTCTTGGACAATCCTAGAAATAAAAGATGGATGTATTGTGATAGAGTTAGTAAAGAATATTTGGAGAGAGTAGAGGATTTTTTAAATCATGTATTTTCTGAAAAAACAACATGGAGAAAAAATTGCATGTCCTTGTACGGAGTGTGTGCTTATCCATCAAGTAAATCGGGCTACAGCATATGATCATCTTGTGGTTAATGGTATTTATACCGTCATATGATACTTGGTTTTGTCATGGGAAGTCTCTAAAGGGATCAAACAATGCTGGAGAAAATAACCGAAGTCATTCAACTTTAAGGGGCGATGATATGCGAGGAATGATACATGATGCATTTGTAGATGTTACACAGTTCATGGATACTGACATTAGTGAAAGTGGTGGCATGGATCAAAACGTACAAGAGAATACTGCTCATCCATATGGAAATCAACCTCATCCAGAGGTGGATAAGTTTGAACGGCTCATGAAGGAGGCAAATGAAGAACTGTATCCTGGATGTAAGAAGTTTAGCAAACTGTCTTTTTTGCTGCATATGTATCGCTTAAAATGCACGTTCAAATGGTCAAATGAATCTTTTAATTCTTTGCTTGGACTATTAAAAGATGCACTTCCTGAAGGAGAAAAATTGCCTCCTTCTTTCTATGAGACCAAAAAGATAGTTGAAGGCTTGGGCTTAAAGTATGAAAAAATTCATGCTTGTCCCAACGATTGCATGCTTTTTAGGAAAGAGTTTGCTAATAAGAATGTTAATGAATGCAAAGTTTGTGGGGCTTCTAGATGGAAAAATGATGCTAGAAAAATTCCAGCCAAGGTCCTAAGGTATTTTCCTTTAAAACCAAGGCAACAGAGATTGTTTATGTCTTCAGAAACTTCTAAAGCAATGTGATGGCATCATGAAGAGCGCAACAAAGATGGAGTTCTACGGCATCCTGCAGATTCTGAAGCTTGGAAAAAATTTGATAGTAAATATCCTGAATTTGCTGGAGATCCTCGCAATGTGCGCCTGGGATTAGCTTCTGATGGGTTTAATCCATTGGCACAATGCGAACTGTACACAGTACATGGCCAGTGATTTTAATGCCATATAATCTTCCACCATGGATGTGCATGAAACAAGAGTTCTTCATTTTGTCCTTACTTATTCCTGGACCAAAAGCTCCTGGCAATAATATTGATGTCTATTTGCAACCTTTAATAGAAGAGTTAAATGAATTATGGGATGTTGGGATAGAAACATATGATGCCTCTGCTAAGGAGATATTTCAAATGCGAGCAGCTCTCATGTGGACTATAAATGATTTTCCAGCATATGGTACTCTCTCTGGATGGTGCACTTATGGTCGGTTTGCATGCCCTTCTTGTAACATAAACACTCAATCTAGAAGGCTCAGACATGGCAGGAAGTTTTGTTACATGGGGCATCGGCGCTTCTTGAAGTCAGGACACAAATATCGGAATGATGCAAAATCGATTGATGGTACTAAAGAAACAAGACCTGCACCTTGTCCAGTATCTGGGTCACTAGTGTTGAATCAAGTTAAAGATATAAATTTACTCTCGGCCAGTCGAGTGAAGGGGTAAGTGGAGTGATGAAAAACACATGGAAAAAGAGGAGTATTTTTTTCGATCTTCCTTATTGGAAGTCTAACTTGGTGCGCCATAATCTTGATCTGATGCACATAGAAAAGAATGTGTGTGATAACTTAATTTATATTTTATTGGATCTTGGTAAAAAGTCTAAAGATAACTTAGAAGCTCGATTGGACTTGAAGAAGATGAAAATAAGACCAAGTTTATGGCCTTAATATCGAGCTAGTGGGAAAGCATATCTTCCTCCTACTTTTTTCACAATGTCTCAAAAGGAAAAGGAGTTGTTTTTTGAAGTACTACAAAATGCCAAGTTTCCAGATGGCTATGCGTCTAATATCTCAAGTTGAATTCGCAAACGAAAGAATATCTGGGTTAAAAACTCATGATTCTCATGTTATAATGCAAGAACTTCTTCCTCTTGCCTTGCGGAGATCAGTAGATAAAAGAGTTGGTTCCATTTTTATTGAACTATGTACATTCTTTCGTGTTCTGTGTAGCAAAGAACTAAAAGTAGAAGAGTTAAAGTTACTTGAAGAAAAAATTCCAGAAACATTGTCTACTATGGAGAAACTTTTCCTCCCAGGATTCTTTACTGTTATGATACATTTGGTAATTCACTTGGCAACTGAGGCTAAACATGCGGGGCCAGTACATTATCGCTGGATGTACCCAATTGAGAGGTATGCAGAATATCACTGAATCTTTGTTATATATCTTTAGTTGTTAAATATTATAATATCAAACTAATACCATTATTTTATTCCATAGGTATTTGGGTACTTTAAATCATATGTTCGTAATCGTGCATGTCCAGAAGGTTCGATAGCAGAAGCATACATAGCAAATGAGTGTATGGCATTTTGCTCACGATATTTGGAGGGTGGAGATTCAAGGTCTTATTGTTCAAGAAAATGCGGTGATGAGATTGAGCATGAGACTAGTAAAGAAGAATATCTTTTTCCAACTATCGGGGAGTCGTACGGCGGAGTAGATGTATTTCAGTTGGATGAGAAAACAAGGTTGCAAGCACATCGACGTGTGCTTTTCAATTGCGAGTCAGAAGTGGTTGAGGATTATGAAAAGTAAGTGTTATATCTATTATTTAATATATGTATATTACTTAATTGAAACAAAATTAATATATGCGAGTTACATGAATAGGGAACATATTACAGAAATCAAGAGATCGCATCGTAAGCGTCGTTTGACTCAACATCAACTTGATCGTGTGCATTTCGATACATTTCATGAGTGGTTCAAGGAGCAAGTAAGTAGTAGGACTAATACATTGGTTACGTTAAATTATTTTTCCTGTACAGATATCCACATTTATAGTTGTATCTTTTATTTGGTTAGCTAAAGGATCTTGAAGCCACATCTAACATCTTAAAGGATGTTAAAGTCCTAGCACAAGGGCCGAGTTACATTGCGAAAAGATTTAATGCGCTCGATGCAAATAACGGGTATCGGTTTCGAACGAAGCAAAGTGAAGAATTTATGGTGACACAAAATAGTGGTGTTATGGTCGTTTCAAAGACTGAAAGTTATGTAAGTACAAGTGACAATACTCCAAAGTCAGCAAATATCACATATTATGGCAGATTAAATGATATTGTAGAGTTAAACTACTATGAAGAATTTAAGGTTGTCTTATTTAAGTGTGATTGGGTTGATGTAACCAAAGGTAGAGGAGTTAAGGAAGATGACTTGGGTTTTACACTTGTGAATTTCTCACGCCTTACAGACTCTGGCGATCGAGAACGTCATGAGCCCTTTATTTTTGCAGAACAAGCTCAACAAGTAATATTTATACAAGATTCTGAAGATCATGAATGGTTTGTCCCTAGGTTAATTAAACCTCGAGATATTTTTAATATGGGAGAGGAAAATAGTTTGCAGTTTGAGTCATCAATGCAGAGTGATGCCATTGACTTGACTCTCTTAGAAAATACTCGTGTTCCAGAAGATGAGTATAATGATTGGGTAAGAAGTGGTGTCGATGGGATAGTAATTGATACAAACGTACATTCTCAAGCTTCTCCAAATGATGGTAAAGCTAGTGTTGAGGGAGGAAATGACAGTGAAAATGAATATGATTCTGAATAAGATAGGTGGAACTTATAGAATATTTTTCTTGCAAGTGTTATTTAAGAACTTCTTGTGATTTTTTTACTGCAGAAATTTGAATAAACATACTTTTTTGCTTTCAATTTGAGTCATTTTACAGAAGATGCATATTAGTCAGCTTTGGATTTTCCATGTTTGTATTGGTTGATTATTGGTTGATTTGAGTCAATTCTTTGTGCTTTCTTTTGCTGATTGTAGCCATTGTATTGCAATTTGCTAAGGTGTTATTATCGCTTTCTTGATGTTTGTGGTACTCGTTCATGTCCACTATTGGCGTCGGGGATCTAATAAATATTAACATGTTAAATAACAATACTTTTATATGATTAGAATTTCATTTAAAATATCTAAAGTTTATTAAATGAAGTTACATGTTCACCCAAGGTGCCATTGCTGCTTTGAGGCACAGATGCATTAGGAGCATATTTGCGCATTAATTGTCTCATTTGGAGTAATTCTGATTGCATATTCTCCTGATTTTGTTTCATAATATTCATTTCATCATTTTGTTTCTTCTTTAACTCGATTATCTGTTGTTCTAAGCTTTGTATAACCTCATTAGAAGAATCATCTGCAGCAATATTTCCTAAGGAAGACCTACTACCCCATAGAACAGAAGGAGTTGGACTAAGTCCTAAACCACGAACATACCCACTTTTTTCATTTCCCAATACCTGGGAATACACATCGCCTTCCCAAGCAACACTACGAGGAAGTTCCTCAGTAAATCTCTCACTATTGCTCATCTTTTCATTTATCATTTCCTGATCATAGAATACACAATAAATCCACTTTGAAATTCATAAATAGGAAAAAATGCACATTGTTTGATAGAGTCATCAAACCAAAAAAATAAAGAAAGAATAAATCTTACGATTGTCTTGATAGAATCATCATCCAGTGGCCTACCATCCTTACGTTTTTTATGAGTTAATAGGAAAATTTCTGTTCGTGTAGGCTCTATCCCGTTTACAGCCTAATACAATAAAAATTATATCATATATGTTTGCAGTGACAAAAAAAAATTTAAAATATTATAGTTTGTAGTATTCACAGGTTTACCTGCTCATTCATCAAGGTGGCAATACTTTTTTATCCTCCTGTGTGAGGCATCGTTTGCTTGGCGCTACTGTTTCTATTTGCTAGGGTACGTCTCTGTCATTAAAATATTAAAATGATATCTTATAAACTTTAAACAAAAATTGAGCATACGTAAAATCAAAACGCTATGAAAATGAGTAGACTAGGATAATTTTCAAGGTTGATACCTTAGCTTTATCGAAAAGCCAATACGAGACAAGACCACTCCATTGATCCCTCGGTATACGACTTGGTCTATTTTTTAGTAAAGCGTCTTTAGTCTTATATTTTTGTGCATACTCACCCTTCAAACTGCACTTGTAATCTTTCTATTTTTTTCCTAGTGACTTTAAGACCCACGCCTCTCCACGTTTTGGGATAGAGAACTTCTTCTGAAAAAATAAAAGCCAATATTTATAAGATAACATCATGTATAAAAGATAGATCATGTTCACGAAAAAATAAAAATAATAACAACAACAACAACTATTCCATACCCTCGCAAAATCCACCAATTTCTTCTTTTCTTCGTTGTCAAGATTTCTCCAATCATCTACATGTAGAGGTGTTAGTTCTGGAGTTCTGGCAATTATTCCTAGAAAGCTAGCAAGTTTTCGACCCTCTTTCCCAATAGCTTGGTTACGATTATTAAAGGGCACATCAATTTTCTTTCCCGGCGGAAGTTTCCAAATCTCTTTTAGTAATGTAGGCCCACGAACCTTTTTTGCTTCTGAATTACCTAGAATGAAAAAGAGAACAGAACGTTAGGTAGTACAATAGCTATTTAGTGAGTTCTGAATAGCATATCTTCAACTGATGCAATACATAGTGAAGCTGCTGCAGATGGTAAAGGAGCTGGTCAAAATATTAAATTGTCCCTAAGGCTATCACTGATCGAGTGGAGAATAAAGCTGCTGTTATGCAGGTTTGTAGGCAGCAACAGACTTTAAATTTGCAACCTGGGAATCACAAAACTGTTGCTATAGTGAATCTGATGACTGTCGCTAATGCTTCTGTGGATCATGCTATTGGAAAAGACTTGGAATTAACAGAAGACAAAGGTGTAAAATATCATGTTGTTGGTCAAGGATCAGATGTCATTAAGCCACTAAATACAATAGTTGTTTCTACGCATGCTACAGTTCTAGTCGACGTTGCCGATGTTTCACCTGCTCCTAATGGAAGTGATTGTGTGACTGCAAGCAGATTGTAGATGGAAAGGGTTTGGAATCAACAAAATTTAATGGTGATAACTCACAGATTTTTGTTCAAGGATCAGATCTAAATAAGATGATGGCTACAGTAGGAACTGATGGAGGAGCTGCTGTAGCCTCAAAGTTATAGGCTACTGTTACTTTGAATCCAGTTGGTGATCAAACTAGTGTAGGGGTTGTTAAACCTACTGCTGCAGTTAGACACCTTTGCATCTTGATGTAGCTACAATAAATAAGACACGGCCTAGCTGTGCAAGGGTCAAGGTATAAGTGAACCTACTGGCTGATTTACCTAAGAAAATAGGCATGGATATTGAGAATGAAGAGACTAAGGAGGTAAGAACGGAGTGGGTTAAAGTTCAATATGACTATCTTCCTAAATATTATACTGAATATTGTTTGATGGAAAATTAGTAGATTAGATTGGCAGGAACATGTTTAACATATAAAGCCAAAAAACTCGAACTCAAGAGCCAAGTTATCAACAGCTTTTGACCTGTCTGTCTTTCATGCTTAGATTCTGTGGATACAAAGCTAAAGGAAAATATAATCTGTATGCAAGTGATCTCTGTAAGTAGAACAGATTTTATTGCAGTCTACCAATATATAACTGGTTGACTTGGAAATTATGTCTGAGGAGAGCATTGCTAGGAGAATTGTAGATGCGGTCCCAGGACCGCAGATGCGAAAACTGCTGGGCATTATATTTTAAAAGGGGTTCGCGACTTTGAGGTTTATTTCACCATTTTTATCTCGGCTTGGGAGCTTTTGGGACGATTTGAAAGAGGGATTTCAAGGGAACTTCATTGAGGTAAGGAATTTGGACCTAAAACTCGTTCCTATGCTATTATTTCAGGGATTAGAGCTAGAAATTTTAGAAATTAAGGGTGAAAATTTGGGGAAACTAGGGCTTAGTATTGGAGACCTTTGAGTGATGAGTTGAGGGACCATTTGAGGTCCGATTTTGGTAACTTTGGTATGCATGAACTCGTGAGAGTGTGTGGATTCCGAAAATATAGATTTTACCCGATTCCGAGAGTGGGCCTGAGGGGCTTTTTGGTTATTTTACCTAATTTCGCGTATTAGCTTAGAATTTAATTGTGGAATCAGTTACTTGAGGTGTTATTTACAATATGCAATTGAATTGAATAGATTTGGGCCATTTGGAGTCGGATACTCGTGGCAAAAGCGTGGTTTCGGGTTGATTTGAGCTTGTCCGAGGTAAGTGTCTTGCCTAACCTTGTGTGGGGGTCTTCCCCTTAGGATTTGAGTCTTCCATGCTAATTGTAGTCCATGCACGCGAGGTGACGAGTGTGTGCTCGGACTTATTTGTGGGAACAATTTGCCTTTAGGGTTCTTAGGTTCTTATGTTCATCATATGGGAAGTATTCTGTTATGATTGGGTTATCTAATTGCATAATTTACCCCTATATGCTCCATATGATGTTGTTAGCTTTTCTCTAACTCTTACCTATTACTTGGCCTTAATTTCCTTAATTGAATTAGTTGTTCTTTTGTTGTTTTGTTAAGGTTATTGTATTTTTCTTAGTTTCTCCGTGATTCTCTTGTTGCTATATAATCATACTCTTGGTGGTGGAACTTCCTTGTGATTGGATTATTGGATTGTTGTTGATTCCCTTGCCGCAATGTATTGTTTATATTGTTAATTCCCTTGCCGGGGTGTTATTTGTTCATATTGTTGATTCCCTTGCCGGGATGTATTTGTTCATATTGTTGTCTCGGGATACCAAGAGATCCCCAGCACATATATTGAGGATACCAAGAGATCCTCGGGATACCAAGAGATCCCCAGCACATATATTGAGGATACCAAGAGATCCTCGGGATACCAAGAGATCCCCAGCATATATATTGAGGATACTAAGAGATCCTCGGGATACCAAGAGATCCCCAGCACATATATTGAGGATACTAAGAGATCCTCGGGATACCAAGAGATCCCTAGTACATACCTTGAGGATACTGAGAGATCCCCCAAGTACTTACATTTGGGACAACGGGACGGGATCCCGGGAGATCCCCTGTCGATACTCTGTGAGTGTAAAAGCACGAAGGGTGATGCCGTGCACTTTCTGTTTGTTGTGTGTATTTGTTATTATCAATTCAAGTGTTTTAACGGGTTAGATTCTCTTACTGCTGTGATTATTTGTGTTGGAACCCATAGTGTTGTCAATACCTCGCCGTATATATATATATATATATTCAATACTTCAACCTCAATAATCTCTACATTTTTGACTCAATTAATTTCTCAACTAAATTTTCCTTAAATC